TTTCTTTTATAAATCACATTTAGAGCCTGTGTGTCATGTGATGAAAAAGACCAATATATCTGTCTTTTCTACATGATGGTCTTCCTACTCTTGATGCTTCTGTAGTGGAACTGATGTTGAAGATCTTTAGGGGAAATTCCAGTTGAACCAGACTATAGTTCTCTGTAGCGTATTAAGGCCTGAATGTTAGAGTGTTAGCTAGACGAGAATGTGTTTTCTGGAAAAAATGCTTCAGGCTGTCTTTGTATATCAAATAAAGCAAAGCAGCAGCTCTTCTTTCTAGTGTGGCTTTCTGTTGGGACAGGCAAAAAAAAAGGGGTTGGGGGGAGTGGGAGTATTACAGGTGTGTGTCCACACTCCATTTTTTTGTAATGGAAAAAAAACCTGGTTTAGTAAATTAAAAAAAAAAACCTGGTTTTGTAGATTAAAAAAAAACTCAAACCACCAGAACATAATCTTCATTGTTTGCAATTAGATACTGCATAGGGAAAGTGTTTTGCGCCACAGGAGAACTTGGGAAATCCTGCAGATGCATTTTTATCTAAGCAACATCACTTTTCTAATGTGATACAGACATACCTGTGCTATTTGTGTATCTTGTTGTTCAAAAGCATTGGTATTAACAAAGCACCGTTGCTGTTCTTAACAATGGCTTATCTAAACAGATTGTGAGCAGAGTTAGGAGGTCAGCAGAAGATAATTGTTAGTAGATGTGACCCTGTGAATTGAAGGGCCACTCATACATCTGAGAGGTAATCTAATCTGATGTAGCCAGGACTTTAGCATACATAAGTTTCCCTCTTGACTCAGAACTACATAATTTTCAAATTAAGATGAGAAAAAAACTAGGAAGTTCTCAGTTATAATGCAGCCACTTAAGGCTTCTGGTTTTTTTCTGTTTACTGCTTCAAAGATCAAAAGAAAATTTGTTCATTCACTCTCCAGTCTGTCTCATCCACCCTTACTTTCCTTGCTTTATGCGTCTCTTTCAGGATTTCTTTAGTGTTTTTCTCATAGAATCTGAGGATATAGGGCATCATTTCACTAATATGCTGTAGTTATTTTCTGTAGTAGTACAAAGTGGTGTATGCACAAACACTCCATGTGCTGTGCAAGTCAGCTTCTGCTTCTTGTGCACCCAGTACACAAAGTGATTTCTGTTGCAGGTTCTGGAAGCAGAAATGGAGAACATAGCTGTTTATGTTGAGGCTTTCATCCTTTTTGTTGCTGTGTTATCTGTTGGAAGCTACTGGCAATGCTGGCAATGTCGTGCAGTGTTGCGTGGATCTGGAACAGCTGCCCTGTCTATCTGCATGTAGGAAAGTTCTCTGCTGGGTGTCGACTTAGTAACGCCTTTCTTGATGGTTGTAAGTCAAAGTTTGGCAGGACTCCGTTGCTTATGTTGATTGTACAAGGATGGAAGAAAACAGAATATTGAACGTAGAGTGTGTAAAACAAGCTTTTCATGACTTCTCTGTTTTGCAGGGGGGGAGAGATGATCTTAATATTATGATGTTATAAGTCTTTTCTCTCCTTTTGACCCAGTTTGCGGGTCTGGGGTTTTAGAAAGGAAAGCTATAAGGTCTGTTTTCTGAGTTAAGTGATGGAATAAAATGGTTCAGTTGGAAGGGACCTACAACGATCACCTAGTCCAACTGCCTGGCCACTTAGGGCGGACCAAGTTAATGCGTTTTATTAAAGGCATTGTCCAAATGCCTCTTACACACTGACAGGCTTGGGGCATCGACCACCTTCCTAGGAAGCGTGTTGCAGTGTTTGCTGACAGTCTCAGTAACGAAATGCTTCCTCATGTCCACTCTAACCTTCCCTTGGCACAGCTTTCAGCCATTCCCAGGACCCCAGGGAGCAGAGCTCACACCTCCCTCTCCGTGTTCCGTCCCCAGAAAGCTGCAGAGAGCGATGAGGCCGCCCCTCAGCCTCCTTCTCTCCAGACGAGATAAACCCAGAGTGCTCGGCTGCTCCTTCCAGGATGTGCCCTCCAGCCCTTCAGCAGCTGGGTTGCCCTCCTCTGGACGCATCCTAGGTCCTTCACATCCTTTGCAAATGGGGGGCCCAGCACCGCCTGCAGTGTTCGAGGCGAGGCCGCACTACCCCTAGATGCAGCAGGATCATCCCCTCTCTTGACTGGCTGGCCACGCCATGTTTGGTGCACCCAGGATTGGGTTTGCCCTCGCGGTGCCAGGGCACTGCTGACTTCTGCGGAGCTGCTGCCACCAGCCCCACCAGATCCCATTCTGCAGGGCTGCTCCCCAGCCACTCCTCTCCCAGGTTAGCCTTGTGTCCGGTGTCACTGTTCCCCAGTGCGGAATCCAGCAATTGTGCTTGTTACATGCTATGCCGTTGGTGACTGCCCAGTACTCCAATCTCTCTAGAACCCCTCTGCAAGGCATCTTGTCCCTGAAGAGAGTCGGCAGCACCTCCCAGTTTGGTATCATCAGCAAGCTTGCTAACGGTGCATTCAACTCCTGCATCCAGCTCATCGATAAAAAGATTGAGAATCGCCTGGCCCTAGGATGGAGCACTGAGGAACGCTGCTGGTGGCCCGTCCCCAGGCAGATGCAGCCCTTTGAGCCCTGCCGTCCGGCCGGTTCTTCGCACAAGGCACTGTGTACCTGCTTGTCTCGCAGTTGAACACCTTGTCCAGACAGATGCTCTGAGGGACAGTATCTAAAACCTTACTAACATCCAGAAAAGCCACATCCGGCCCCTTCCCTTCATCCACTGGGTGGATGATCTTGTCATAGGAGATTAAATTAGTTAAACAGGACTTTCCCTTTGTGAACCCATACGGACTATGCCTGATGGTTGTATTGTCCTTTAAATGTCTTTCAATAGCACCCTGTGTGATTTTTCACAGTTTTTCCAGGTACTGAGGTTAGACTAACAGGTCTGTAGTTCCCTGGGTCTTCCCTCGTGCCCCTCTTGTAGACTGGAGTAATGCTGGACAGCTTCCAGTCAGTGGGGACCTCCCCAGACCTTTGGCAGATGATGAGAGGGGTCCTGCTGTAGCATCTGTTGGGATGTTAGAGATGGCATTGCTGCTGCTTTGTATAGGACGGGTGCACAATGTTTGTCAGAGTATTTAGTGAGCCTCTTAAACAAACATGGAACACACATTTGAAGTTCATCACAGGCTATTTCTTGTTTTATTATTCTTTTTTCTTTTTTAAACCAGGGAGTAAAGTGTTAAATTCCCAGCTGAAAGTACAGCTGTTCCACTTCATCAATTTATAGTGATTCATAGAAATGCGAGGTGCCCTGTAGGTAAAGACTGGAAGAAGTTTTCTTGTAGTCTTACTCCATGTGTGTCACAAGGTAAACTGACCTAAGTCTTGTGCGAAGTGATAAATAAGGACACCCACTAGGTTTAATTTATTTGGGGCAGACAAGTAAGCTGCACTTTATTGCTTGTTTGAATTTGTCTGCCTTTAGTGATCATTACCGACTAGTTTAAGGGAACATGCTAGTGAGAGGTCCTGTCTTTGTAGTTACTTATAAAATCTCCCCTCCTTTTCATCAAATTCTTAAATATCCTGCAAAAAGGCATTTATTCCAAAGTCAGCATTATTCTAATAGTTCTTTTTGACAAACTTTTTTTTTTGTGTAACCTTTACAAGAAGAGAATCATAGCAAGATGATTACCTCACTGATACTGTACATGTAAACAAATAATTCAATTTTGTTATTCTTATGTGATGGTCCTCCCTTTATGTCACATTCCACTGCCAAAGCAGCACAGATAAAACATTAAGAAAGGTACAGGCCCACTGAGACTGAAAAAGCGTTCAGTTCAATTTCCACTGTATTGCTGAAATTTGTTGAATTGAAGGAAGGTTATCTTGAGAGGCCCAGCCTTCTTTCCCTGCAGGGCAGCTTAAGCACTAATGGAGTTCAAGAATTCATTGGGAGAGTTGCTTCAGATTCTCTTCCTCTCCCCTTGGAGTTTGAGCTTTTGAGTCCGGGGGAGGAGTGGGGCAGAGGAGCGTACGAGTGGTCTCTAATACCCTTTAATAAGGATTACTGGTGAAGCAGAGAGCTGTCTGTCTCCCTGTTACCCCCAGTGGTCTTGTAATTATTGCAAAACTCTGTTTTGACTATCGAGCTTCAGGTGTTTCTTCACTGACTAGGAATTTCTTGACATTCATCTGCAGTGTTTGATGATGTTTGTGTAGTATCTGTAGGTTGGAATGTGACTGTGTTCTAACATTTAATAGCCCTAGTTGTTAGGAGCTGAAATGAGACTTGTAACCTGTGTTCGTGTTCTTAGCACTCTTGCTGTGTAATTCCGTATGGCTTTAACACTTGTCCTTTGTGACAGAAGAAAAGAGGGTGATATCTTGGAACACTGATCTAGGATTGTAGTGTGGTTTGTATTGTCACCCTTGTAAGTGAGGTAATGAAAAATCTAGTGAGCAGGTATTTCCAGGTAATCTTATGCCATCTGAAATATTTGCATTTGTTTCAGGGAGTTTAACAATGTTCAAGGCAACACAAAACTTCCGATTTAGGGTAAATTTCACAAACAGGAGCTTTCTGGCTGAAGGGTTCAGTTCTGTGACGGTTGGTTAGCCATACTGGTACCAGCTGGCTGTCGAAGTGCCAAGTGAGTGTGTCTGCATTCTCTGAAACATCCTGATGTGAAAGAGGCTTGCATTGGGTCATCAGCTGTATTTTGGGATGAACAATTTTCAGATCTTTAATTTTGTATGGGGAAATGCAGCATTTGGAGCCAGTGGTGTGTGGGCATGAATAACTTTTCATAGGTTAGTAATTGCTGTGAATTTAATTCTCATTTCTTTTGTAGTGTTTGTTAGCTCTGTAGATGTGTTGTAATAGCACTGAGAACATCACTTATCCTGCTTTTTCTGAGGAAAGCTGCTGTCTCTTTATCCGTAGGGCTTGTAGGAATCTATTTTTTTTCTATTTGATGTCTGAAAAGAGCTGAAATGCCTTCTAAACTTTTTTTTTGTCAGATCTTTGTGGAATTCGATGGCTGTCACTGGAAGCAACATGCCTGGGTGAAAGTCCACGCTGAAGAAGTTATAGTGTTGCTGCTGGAAGGATCATTGGTTTGGGCACCTCGAAATGATCCAGTTATGCTTCAGGGGACTCGAGTCTCACTGGCACAGTGGCCTGCACTGGTGAGTACCTGGCCAAAAGCTCTCGTACCCTCAGAGGTTTGCATCAACTCTGCTGCGAAACACAGGGCTTGGATATCATGCAGGGCACCATTGCGCAGGTACCAAAAATTGCTTGGGGATGGATTTTTTTTTTTTTTTAATAGTATATAGGAGAGCAGTTAACTCTGAGTTGTAGTGCCTTTGGAAGGGCATGCGAGAGGCAGTGTGCTTCCAGTTCCTGCCCCAGGAATTGAAAGCTGTAACCTCACAGCAATGAGATACTGTTTGCCAGTGTGCCTCTGAAGAAATGCGGTACCTGTCTGAAAATATGATTTTTCCCTATTTTAGAACTTTGAGTGTGTTAGGCTTTTCTGATTTGTGAGTAAGCCTTTTGGTCTTACTATGGCCTCTGTAGAGCTCTGTAGGGTGAAGGCTGCTGCATCATTGCAGTAGGTGTTCCTGAAGGCAGTTTGGGGAAGTGAGTGGGCTGTGGCTGACCTATAAGCCGTAACTTGTCCACACCGAATATAAACTAAAAATGTGATTTCAGTGCTGTTGTCAGCATTAACTAACAAGACATGCAACATTTTCTCCTGGTTCTTGAAGTGGTTATCTGTATTGCTGTCTGTGTGGCAATTACACGTCATGACACTTGAGACCAAAGCCAAGTGTTCTAGCTGATGTATCTGAGTGTACCCACTCTGCAGACATCCTGATGAGTAGTGTATAGTGAACAGCATTCCTGACATCCTTCTTTCTTCTCTTAGTGGCTTCTGAAGAGGAAAGATTATTATATGTGAGGATCCTACCCTTGTTTTCATGCTGTCTAATTTTTATTATTTTGCCCTTTTGTTTCTTTTCCTGCAGTCCTTGGACTGCTTGGGATGCTGCTGTCTGCTTTGTCATACTACATCTTGTGCATGGGCACATTGAAATGTTTGGGGGTTTTTTTCCAGTCAAGGACCTTGTGCCATGGTAGAATTTGAATTTAGTGTTTTAAATTGACACTTGGACTCAAAGCAACAGGTTTTTGTCTGCATCTTTCTCTGAGGGTTTGTTTATTGCTGTTGTCTTAAGGCAGAAGAAAACCAGGCCTTTAAAGCAGAGGTTCTGTGTATTGTGTTTTTTCTATAGGCAGAGTTTTCCTTTCAGTGTATTTCCAGCTTGTCTCCAAGAGTGAACTCTGGTTTAATTTCATCTGGGAAACTGTTCGTACAGGATCAGTTTATTTCAGATGATTCACAGGTAGCTTGATAATCTGAGTAATTTGGGGGTGTTACCATAGTACGCACGCTGATTGTGTAATGAGTTGTCTTGAAACCTGTGAGAAGCAAATATAGGTCCACTAAGATCCCAGAGTATTTCCACTATACTCAAGCTATGTGGACTTGCTGAAAAAATGTTTCCATCCACTGTACTCTGGACAGCCACGTGAGTGCTCGAGCTTTCATTAAATACGAGAGGTCTACCTGAATAACTGCATGAGAATACAGACTATTGTTGTCCTGTGTGTGTGCTCAGTCCTTTCTATAACCTTTGGTTTTTGTTGTTCATCACAGACCTTCACTCCTCTAGTAGATAAGCTGGGTTTAGGCTCTGTGGTTCCAGTGGAGTTTCTTCTGGACAGACATTTGCGTTTCCTGTCTGATGCCAGTGGATTACGTTTGTTTCAGGTATTTGAACTGTGTTCGTTTAAAGTGCAAATTTAACTTTGTGCTGTGATTGTCAGATTAGATTTTTTTTTTTTTCACTGTTCCACTTACATATTCTTGTTTTCCTCCTTTCACTGTCCTAATTGCTCTCTGTACGGGTCATTTGGAAAGCTAGCTGTGAAGCACTGTGTAGCTGATAATTGCAATGGAAGTTTTGCAACAGCTTTTGCATAGCTGGCCCTTTTTTTTTTTTTTTCCTCCTGGAATGTTCAGCAATGTTTTTCTTAATTTTGCATTTTTTTTTGTTTGTCAGTCTCTGAAAACAGTCCAAGAAGAGCTGTCCCTTAAAAAGTAGTGATTTTATTGCCTTAAAAGACTGTACTGTTAAAACTGTTTGTTGTTCACAGGTGGGAACAGAGAGTCAGAATCAGATTCTGCAGGAACAGCCTTCACTAAGAGAATCTGTCAATGCATTGATCAGTGACCAGAAGCTTCAGGAGATATTTAGCAGAGGTGAGAGTGTGTTTTCCTATCTCAGAGCTACTTTGTTGTGGAACAGTTAGACTATCCTGTGATTTGTGAAGGAGAATAGTAATAGTATCTTACTGTTTGATTTGGAAGGTCAATTTTCTGCATTGTTTTGCAAGTTCTTTACAACAGAATGTTTGGCTTGTGTAGGTTTTGCAGCAGAAGCCCTAGCATTTTAATTTCTTTCTACTGAAAGATGACACTTCAAGCCCTAATTATGTGTATAGAACTCTTTTTTTTTTTTTTTTTCTTTAATTGTATGACTCTTAACTAGTATGACACAGAGCTTGCCTGGCAAATGTACTCAAAGTCCTTCTTTTCCAGGTCCTTACAGTGTCCAAGGCCAAAGAGTTAAGGTTTACCAACCAGAGGATGAAAATAGCTGGCTCTGTGGTGTTGTGAGCCATCAAGACCCAATAACTCGTCTTATGGAGGTGTCTGTGACTGAGGTAAAAATACAAAGCACTGCTTTGGTGTTTGTAAAATACCGTTCCTCACTATCTCCTGGAGAATGACAGCTTCACCAAAACTTGTATTTTTGTTTCTTTGTTTTTTTGCTTTAAAAGATGAGCAATTAACCATGTTGCAATTCACAGATTTTTTTTTTTTTCTTCTGTTACGGTGACTTTCCCCAATAAATTATGATACACAGCCTACTTGTACAAAAGAAGCTACAATTACTTCTTTGGAAATGAGTGCTATGTGAAAAAATATTGGAAGTGGCTTTCTGGATGGGAGAGTGTGCTGATGTACAGAAAGATGCCTTCTGTGTCCGTTATGCTGTGGTCTTTGTGTGCCTTCTCTCAGCTTCTGTCTGGTAGGCTGTACAAGTGTAGCATGAAAGATGAAGTCTTAGTCTAAACAAAATTGATTGATGTATTTTAGCTTAGGCTGTTTACTTTGCCCTGTTCCTTTCAGTAAGCCTGGTAAGTGTTGTAAACAGCACAGAAGACTGTGTACTGCTAGAGTTACCCAATTTGTATTACGGACTTCTGTGCAGTCTGGCAGGCAGTTCAGTCTTGCTGGCAGCCTGCTCCTAATGTCTTTTTTCTTCAGGAGCGACTGGGAACAGGTCTGTGGTGCTGTAAGTTACTGGAGCAGCAGCGGCACTTCCCGTGTTTTTGGGTCCTGTCCTGTGTGCCATCCCCCTGCTGCCATAGCCTTTTCTGTGTGCAGTGAAACACGTGTGCAGGATGAATGCACTGAACGTGCCCAGTGGGTCCTGTGTACACGCGCAGTAATCCTGCACTCTGACTACTAGATCTATTGCTGGTGTACAGGAAAAAAGTATACTGTGTGTGGCAGATAATTGTAGTACTTTGGAGAGGCATCAAAATTGTGGAGTGTGTGCTTTCAGCAGATACATGCCAGGAAACACCCAACTTAGTGCGTATCTGCTGTGAAACAAAACGGTAGTCTCCAATCACAGTTACAGAGATTGTGTTTTCATTGCTCCTTTTGGGGAGACGCTGATGAAGATAGTCAGCGTAAACTGATGTTTCCTTCCAGTAGCCTTTTCTACACCCAGAAGAGTGAATGTGCGGAAGGCTAGAACAATACTAAATAAAATGTAAGAAGAGCTGTGTTTAATGCAGTGAATGCTTCTAGAGATGGTAGAACAAATATGCAGGGAAACAGAGGTAGGAATGAAATCTGAAAGTTATTGAAATACAGAAGGAGCAGAAGGATAGAAGGTAAACTAGAAGGCTGTAGTATTACTAAGGAAGTGGGACAGCCAGAAAAGGCAAATGGGAGAGGGGCTGCAGAGTAAGCCTGTGTTTGAAGTCTCTTATGTTGATACTATATACTCTGAATTAAAAACTAACCTATTTTCTTCTCCTGCCTCCTCAATATCAATGTGCATAAAAAATAGAGTGGTGAAATAAAGTCGGTGGATCCTCGACTGGTTCATGTGGTGATGGATAACACTTCTCCAAGCAAGGTACTACAACAGTTCAGGTCTTGTATATACAGTGTGAAGATTGAAAGATTTATATATAAAACATGTAAAAGGTGGAAACAACTGAAAACCGATGCTGTGTTGTCTGTGGGCTTTTGATAATGTAATTGGAAGAGGAAAATTTTCTTTGCCACTTTGAGAGATGGTCATAGCTTTCTTTAAACATTCTATTTTCGTTCAGCCCTGTTTTATCGAGGTCAGCATGGATCTTGGGGTTCAGTAAACACAGTTGTGCCCCTTTTAAAGAGTAGTGCTCTTTTAAGGGGAATGTCTCTGCGCGCACTGCCTTTTTCTAACAGCATCACTCTGTGCTTCTTCACAGACCGTTTTAGGCATTTCTAAAAATTACCATCTGGCTTCTCTGAAGCAGGCTTGTATGCTTGTGGCATTTAGTTGCTTAGGTTGAGAGGTTCCATGATAACATTTGAACCTGTGTTTTTACCCTAGGCTAAAGAGCAAGCTGTCTCCTGTAGTTAAATGTTGTAGGCTTTGGGCAGTGGGCAGAGAGTCTGCCTTACGAAAGAACTGTGGGGATTAGATTTGTAGCAAAAATTAGTGTGCAAATAGTTTTCATACATGAGCAAGAACTATGGAGTATGGCTGTGTTGTGCGTTTCCCGAAATAGGCCATGATGTGGTACGTGCCCCAGAAAAGCAGCTCAGCTATAGGTCTTATTGTACTATCCTAGTACAAAACAGACAAGGCTGCACCTATATGTGTATTCTGCGTTCGCATCGTGTCTTTCCTTAGATGTCTCAATTTGTGATTGAAGGAAATGTTCCTAAGCTTAAGAGCAGTGTAGTGTATTCTGCATTTTAACAGAAAAAAGTTATTTGAACAGGAATTCCTGATTGTTCTGTTTAGTGATTGCATGGTTTTGTCTGTTATAGGGAGGGGGTCTGAAAGCAGCTAAATCTTCTAAAGGGAAAAAGAAGAAAGAAAGTCTGGAGGGAAAGGATGGACGGAGGAGGAAAAATGCTTCGGATTCTGGGTGTGATCCTGCAACAAAGAAGCTAAAGGAGAGGGGTGATGTGGATAGCAATGGTAGTGATGGAGGTGAGGCAAGCAGAGGTCCGTGGAAAGGAGGCTCCAATAGCGAAACAGGACTGGATACAAGGGCCAAACAGTTGCCTTCATTCATTCCTCAGATTAATCGCAATATTCGCTTTGCCACTTACACCAAAGAGAATGGCCGAACACTAGTAGTCCAAGATGAGCCAGTTGGTGGTGATGCACCGTTGCCCTTCACTCCGTTTTCCTCTGTGGCTGGCCAAGCGTTACTAGTTGGGTCTGGATGTAAAGAGGCAGGAAAGTCACTGGAACAGGTTGGCCAAGGCACGGTGACTTCTGCAACTGCAGTGACTACAACTGCTTTGACACCAACAACTGTGAGAATCTCTGATACCAGTTTGCCAGCTGTTACTGGACAGGAGAAACCGAAAACAGGCCGATCACAAGCCCAGGGAGAGGTGAGTAGCTCATGGTCCAGCATATTCAAGAGAGACGTACGTATTTGCAGCAGATGTTCTGCAGCGTATTCCTGTTACATTACATTTTTTCTCTGATTAATCCCTCCCATCCGAACGGAAACCTTTCTTTTATCTGATCTAACAAAGAACTCTAAACAAAATGAAGATATTTGGTGGAGGAGTTGTAAGAGACAACTTTTAAGCACTCTTATCTTCATTCAGTCTTAATCTGAGAAATGCAGCCTTAAAGTCACTTTAAGCACTGCACTTAATATAATTAATTTTCTTGTTGAGTACAACCAACTTAATATTCTCTTGCCTTTATATAATCAAATATGCATGTGGATGTGCATTGAGTTGAACATTTAAGTTACTTAAAAAAAAGCAGCCTCAAAAACAGGAAAAAAAATTGATCTACATTTAGAGGTGCTTTTATAGATGCACAACTGAGCTGTTACAGCTGTGATATCTCTGTAGTAGGAAAATGAACCAGTCACATCATATACTGTCTCGGGCTGAAAACAAAGAAATAATTAAAATATTTGAGATGGGTACCTTTAGAATAAACTTTAATAAAGAGCTCAGTCTGAAAGCAGCTTGAAGATCTTTTAGTTGTGTTGTTGTTTTCAAGGGGAAGAATGGAAAAGTAGAAGGAAAACCTTGTTAAAACAGTAGACTTTTAAAGTACTCAAATGAAGGCTTATAAAAACAAAACAAAAACCTCAGAAAGTACAGCAAAAACTAAGAAACTTGTAGTCTACTGTATACCTAAAAGTGAAGAAAATGGGAGATACATTAGAGAGTCCAAGGTAATTGCCAGGAGGTTAAATGGATTACTTTCATCCCTGTCTTTTGTATTGCTAACAGAATGTGGGGAAAGGTGGGGTGTTTGCTTTGGGATAAGGATTCCTAGATGTTAAGATGTAAAGGAGAAACAGAATTGTAAAGATAGGGGTGTTACATAATTAAATTGTTATATAACGGTATAACCTGCTCTCTCTTCCACCGCACTCCTGCCTCCACCCCCTCCTCCCTCCCCCAAAAAAAGAAGAAAAAAATTCAGAGATGAGAGCAACTACAGATTGTGTAGGTGAATGGTCAGAATTGTACCTGTCATCAATGGTATTAAGGAAGAACTTCAACTGTACTGAGAAATTTTGGTACCAGTTCTTCCCTCCCTCACCCCAACTCACTTGTTTTATATCATTATTAATAATTTGGTTTTGGAATTTGCAGATAGACCACTACCATTTAAACTGTATTTTCCTTGAGGGAGGGAACTTGACATAAATCAGTAAGAATGCTGTAGTTAATGTGTGTTACTTACTGCAGACTGTCCACTTTACCAGTGGTGATAGTTTGGTCCTTGAGATTACTTAATAAGCTTGATTTGCATTCATATTCATATGCTTTTTAAAACTGATAGAACCGGTTTCTGAAAACTACTTCAGCTCTAAAAAGAAATATCTGGAATTCTAGTATCTGGAAGAACTGTCACAGGGGGACATGAGTATGTTATGAAGGTTATTACAGCTGGAGGTTGATAATGAGGAACAACATAAACATTAGTTTGCAGTGTAGTAGGTGGCCAGTGGGACTAATGACCAGTAAGATGTGTTGTGCAGGGGCTGTGGTGGTATTAACATGGCCTTGAAGTAAAACTGTATTAATCCTTCTAGTACTTCCAGGGGTTACAGGAGAGGTGGGGAGGCACTCTTTGTCAGGGGGTGCAGGGACAGGACGAGGGGGAACGGTTTGAAGCTGAAAGACTGGAGACTGAGATGAGATGTGAGGAAGAAATGTTTTCCTGTGTGGGGGGTGAGGCAGTGGCCCAGGGTGCCCAGAGAAGCTGTGGATGCCCCATCCCTGGAGGGGTTCAAGGCCAGGCTGGATGAGGCTTTGGGCAACCTGGGCTAGTGGGAGGGGTCCCTGCCCATGGCAGGGGGTGGCACTGGATGATCTTTAAGATCCCTTCCAACCCAAATCTTTCTATGATTCTATGAATCATGGATATTCTTCATGAAGATTTCAAAGTGGAAACTCAAATAAAAGGAATAGAACTGATGAGTTAGTGGCAGAATATAGTCAGTTACGGTAGGACTGTGAGAATTGGAAAATTTGAATAAGTACAAATTGTGAAGAGAACAAGTGAATATTCCATATCACAGTTACGAATCTAGTAGAAATCTGCAAGTCAAAAAACTTTCCAGTATCTGAAAATCGTAAAAATTAAGCCCTTTGTGCTTAACCTCTGTTGAGTAGTTCCCTGGAAGGCATCACTTTGTAGGCATCTGTCTATCAGTCACCAGGTGTGGCTTGCTGTGACCAGGAACAGTGTGTTCACTGGCTGCTGGAGGGCTTGCTTTGTTTAATTAACTTTGCAAACTAAGCTAGTTATTTCAGGGGTGCTGGTTAAGTAGGAGAAGCTTGTCAGGATGATCTTGGGGGAGGGTGAAAGAGGAGATTATTGAAAAGCGATTTCAATTAAGGTTCCCTTCTTGCTGATCTGAATTAAAACAATCATCAGTTTAAATAAATTGCTTTTCTGTGAATTAGTTCGTCCATGTGTCTTTAGTATGTCACGGACGCTGTTAGCTTATTAGTTTCAATAGCTTGTAGGTAGGAAAAATGAGTCTGCATAATCTTTAAAGAAGTTTCTTCATTGTAAATAATTCTACTGGAAGTTTCTATTTCAGGTAGATATGCAGAATGTTAATTGTGCAATTAGATGAACCAAAGTATTGCTGAATCAAACAAGAATCCTTTAATAGGCTAATGCTTTTTAATTTTGTTTCAGAATTCCCGAAATACATTTTTGGCTTCTTCCGGATTTGGAGTCTCTCTCCCAAGTGCTTCCCAGTCCTTGGTGTTTGGAGGTGGAAGGAGCCAATCAAATGGAGTGGTGACTCCAGAAAGCAAGCCTTCTGGATTTCCTTTTAGCTGTAGTACTGGACAAGAGGCTCAGAAAGACTCTGATCTGTCCAAGAACTTGTTTTTTCAATGCATGTCCCAAAATCTACCTTCCAGTAACTACTTCACGGTCATTTCAGAGAGCTTGACTGAAGATGCCTCCAGTCGGGACTCATTCAAGCAGTGTACAGAGAGTGTGGGTGCTGGGATCTGTAAAGGTAAAATTCTTTCAGCGGACACTAAACCAGGAGCCCAGTCTGGCAGTTCTGTGGAGCGGAAGCTGCCTGTAGAATCAATGCCTACCCTCACTCCAGCCTTTTCACGAAGTCTGTTGAGTACTCGCCCCCCAGAGAGTCATGAAAACCTATTTTTACAGCCCCCAAAGCTATCAAGAGAGGAACCCTCAAACCCTTTCCTGGCATTTGCTGAGAAAGCAGAACTTAGTCCTTTCAGTGGCTTTGCGTCTTCATCTCAGACAGGGACTTCTGCTCCCTCCATGCCTGCAGGTCATAAGGCTGTTTCTGGCTGGCCGGAGTCGCTCACCTCCGCAGATTCTTCTCTAGCTAAGAAGAAAACCTTGTTTATAACAACTGACTCCTCAAAGATGATCTCCAGTACTCCTGGTTCAACAGTTGCTGCTGGTGTTCAGAGCTCTTCCACGGCAGGGAACGGCCGCTCCAGCTCACCGACCGGCGGCCTGACGCAGCCTATTGAGATGCCCACGCTTTCCTCCAGCCCAACAGAGGAAAAACCAGCTGTTGGGCCTGGGCAGCAGGACAATCCCCTTCTGAAAACCTTTTCTAATGTGTTTGGCAGACATCCATCTGGCTTCTTCTCTTCTCAGGCAGAGTTTCCCCAGGAGAACAAAGCCCCTTTTGAAGCTGTGAAAAGGTTCTCTCTAGATGAGCGGAGCTTGACATCCAAACAGGACTCAGACTCCAGCACCAATAGTGACCTGTCAGATTTGAGTGACTCTGAAGACCAGTTGCAGGCCAAGGCTTGCATGAGGGGAATCCCAGACCACTTGATGGCAAAGCTGGGCCCCAATGCAGAGCGCAATGCTGAACTGCTGCTGGGGAAAGGAAAAGGGAAGCAAGCCCCAAAGGGCCGGCCTCGCACAGCTCCCCTAAAAGGTGATGACTTGAATGCAGGGTGTCTTGGAAGCACAGGGAGGTGGGATACTGGGATATCTCCTGTGTGGTGAACTGTGTGAGCTAACCGCAGGTGTGAACCTTGTTATTGCTCGGGCAGCACACAGGATATTGACAAGGTTAAAGCTTAGTGCTTCTTGTATGTCAGTTAAAGCATTCACTTTGAGAAGTGTTGAAGCATGTATTTGTCAGGACAAAAGTGTGGTGTGCTGCAGACTTGAACAGTCTTACTGGTTTTGTGTGGGTATGAGCATACAGATATCTGAAAATATGTTTATTCAGGCCAATACCCTTTGGCTGCTGCAGTTAACTAATGGATTTTTACTTCTACTTTGCCTCACCCAGTTGGCCAGTCTGTGCTGAAAGATATGAGTAAGGTGAGGAAGCTGAAGCAGTCAGGTGAGCCTTTTCTCCAGGATGGCTCTTGCATCAATGTAGCTCCACATCTGCACAAGTGCCGGGAGTGCCGTCTGGAGCGGTACCGCAAATTTAAGGAGCAAGAGCAGGATGACTCAACTGTGGCATGTCGCTTCTTCCATTTCCGGAGGTGCTCAAATTCTTCCTTCCTTCATACGTAGTCTGTGCAGAGCTTGGACCATGTCCAAGCACAAAGTAATTATGTTTTACTTACTCAGTGTGCTTGGGTACAGTAATGAAGACTTTGAGTATCTTGCATTGTCCTGTGTCACCTGACGGGAATTCCCTCCCTGGGGTGGGAAGAGCTGCTGTTGGGAGATACTGCTACACGATACTAGGGGAGCTTCCAGGTCCAGCCTCAAGAGATTGAGTTTTCTTTATTGGGTAGAATTTTACTGTTGAGTAGCACTTGGTATGTAATAACTGTTTTCTCCCTCTTTCATAAGGACTTCAGAACAGAGATAAAATTTTAATTCAGTCAACAAGTAACTGAACATTGCCAGCATGAGGCTAATGTGTGACTCTGTTTTTTTGAGCACAGAACTGATTTTTAGGAGTGGAACACTGCCTGTGTTTTCTCTCTGTGTTGTGTGCATGTCTTACAGCTCTTTGAGCTGTCATGCTTCTTTTTGTCTTCCTTAACAGCCTGTTCTAGCAAGTGCTATTATATCTTTCCAAAAATATGTTTATTCTCTTTCTGGCATATAAAGGGTGAAGTGAATTTTTATTACGTGCCATCCATCCAGTAAAGATTATAGCTGCTTCTCTTCCTGAACTTGTTAAAAATTAATCTAACATTGAGATTAAAGACAAGATTGGTTTTGCTTCAGAATGAAGGTACCTTTAATATTGTCAGGAGATGTTCAGGGTTCTGTATCTTATGTTGTCATACCTTTTACCACACAAAGACTAGGAGGATCAACAGCCACTGATAAAGCAGTTGTCACTTGTCTTTGGAGAGCAGTAGCAAGAAGAGTAGGCACAATAAGGATTTTTGTATGTCTTGTAATTTGAACTGTTAGAACAGTTGCCAAGTCCTAGCAGCCCTAGCCAGAGCTGAATGCTGGTTTCCCAAAAGTTAGGAAATAACTTTCTCCTGAGTTAAAATAGAGACTGAGAACCATGCACAATTTTACAAGCAGCATCATGTAGCAGCCCAGATAATTTGAATTTTGTCATCTCTTTCTGTTAATAGTATAGGTAAATGTGAGTTTCCCACCAGCGCTTACAGGGACCTGGAGGTTCCTTCTAGTGGGTTTTGCAGCCATTGCCTTTGTGTAACTAATTCTCTGTGTTATTTGGATTTGCATAATAATTGTACTGGCTGTATAGTATAGCACTCTAGCTCAAGCCTTTCTTCTCCTTTCTGGGTTTATGTTCTGACAATAGATGGCATTATTAAGTTAATTAAAGGTGGTTGAGCAGCTTCTTAATTACTCAGTCGTGTTTTCTGCAGGCTGATATTTACCCGGAAAGGTATTCTACGAGTAGAGGGTTTCTTGAACCCACAACAGAGTGACCCTGATGCCATGAGCCTATGGATTCCTTCCTCCTCCCCTGCAGAGGGCATCGATCTGGAAACTTCCAAATATATCCTGGCCAATGTTGGGGACCAGTTCTGCCAGCTTGTTATGTCAGAGAAGGAGGCAATGATGATGGTGGAGCCACATCGTAAGCTGGGCTTTTTACGTGGTTTTTTTTGTCCATCTTCTCTGTGTTTGTGTATGTACAATGCAGTGGAACAGAGCTGACAGTGTAACATAATTTCTTGTTAAAGTGCTTCTCCTTTTCTTCCAAAGAGAAGGCTATTTTCACTTCTTTGTGGTGTGTGTTATTGTGGGAGCAGCATTTGGGAATTTTCCTTTGGATAAGTGCAGCATTAGTACCAAGGATTCTGATGGTAACTTTCCCAGACATCATTAAATTATTTTTCGACAAATAAATGCAGAAATCAGCTGACACATGCTCTTAAGAAAATAGAAATTAGTCCAGAACACTTATCATGCTGACCAGCTATGCTTTAATGAGCAGCTTTTCTTATGAATTCCTGTCCTGTTACGCTCCAGGAACATCACATAAAAGCTTGGGGTTTTCTAGGGAGGGAGCAGCACCTGCATTCAGCCTGTAAGGACTCAGCTGAGCACCTAGTTGACAGTGTTATCACTACAAGAGGAGTGGGTTTAGAAAAAATTTTCTAAAGGTACCCAGTTCAGTCTACCCCATTGATAGCTCTGATTCTCTGATTTTTCTGTTTAGCTTCTGGAACGTTCAAGGGCAGCCATTGAGAGAGGACTTCCCCTTCCTCAGTGAATGGTGTTGGTTTAGAATCCAAAGGGTTGACAGGCATCTGATTAGTAAAACTCAATACACATTCTGTGTAATTTTATAAGTTCACATTATTTTTTCATAAAACTAGCAGAAGTTTTGTAATTTAGCTGTACTTTATAACTTTGCTGTAAGTTCTGTAAGTGCTCGTTGAAATTGACTTACTGCAGAACTGTCAGGTGCTCCATTTCCTTGTAGTGTGTGTCTTGGGACTTGACCTTACCTGCTCTTAGAAATGGGGGTTTTCGTAGTGTCACAAAACTAGCAACTCAAAGAATGCATCTCTGGATGTAAAAATTGTGTTTCTGTACTCTGTCCTCAGCTCATGTTTCTGTGAATTGTTTCTGTGAATTGTTTCTGTATCAATGTTACTGTGATATTCTGAAATCAGGTGGGAGAAACGCAAAATGTCAAAGCACTAATTTCTAATGTTCCTTCTCTTTGTAGAGAAAGTGGCGTGGAAGCGAGCAGTACGTGGTGTGAGGGAAATGTGTGATGTGTGTGAGACAACGCTTTTCAATATTCATTGGGTTTGTCGCAAGTGTGGTTTTGGGGTCTGTCTGGACTGTTACCGGCTGAGGAAGAGTCGTCCACGTAGTGGTGAGTGCTGGACTTTCTTTCCCCAATGTAATCTTTGAACTGGCTGGCTTTCAGTGGGGTTAGTTTCTGGAAAGTTGCAGAAAGTTTTGTGGGAGTGTTAGTGAGTATCAGCCTGGGACGCTGAAGGTTTGGAATTTTGGCACTACTGTCTAATGTGCTGCTCTTCCATTCTTCGTTTCCTTAGACACCCTGTGTTTTATCTATGTGGTTAGAATTTGTATATTAAATTACTGTGTACTGAGACAGACTACTGTATAGTTCCATCTTTTCCTCAGTGTAATATCTTAACAGTTCGGAACCATCACAAGGTGAAGTAGTAATCATTGCAGAGAACTCCTTTCTGTAACAAGGAGTTAGATTGGAAAGCTTTCTTCGTTTTTTTGATTCCTTGCTGCATTAGGGTTTGTAATTCAGGGAAAAAGTTCAGTAAGTTCAATTCCTAACAAATTGAGGCACACTGTTTACAAGAGGTAATACCTGGTTGGTTTTTTTTGTGTGTTTTACTGTATTGGGACCCATTTGGTAGCGTGGGTGCTGACAATGGACAATCTGAATGAGCGTAAGGCTGTTGGTGGCAGTTATGTTATTGTATGGAGCAGATGTACAAAATATGGGATGTTAGTAGGTGTGAGAACTGCTGTCTGTTTGTTATGGTAAAGGTGCCAGAGAACACTGAATGAATTATAAAAGCGATAGGGTTTTAAAATAGATTAGAAGTCACCTATTTTTATACCATTGTTGTGGGTTAACCCCAGTAGGCAGCTGAACAGCTCGTCCCCGCTTGCTCGTTCCTCCACAGCACCGGGACTGGGGAAAGAGGAAAGGAAGAGTAAAGGCGAGAAAACTTGTGGATCAAGATAAAAATTGCTTAATAAGCAAAGAATAAGTCTCAGTGGGTAGAGTGAGAAGCAGAGAAGACCTGGGCATTGTGCAATAGCTAAAACATGAGCGTGTTATCAGCATTGTTTTGGTCACAAGTCTAAAACACAGCACCACACAAGCTGCTGTGAATAAAATTAACTCCATCCCAGCCAGACCCAGTATAATAATGAAGCCTATGAAATTAACTGCTAAAATACATCAGAAGAGAGCATAACGATCTTTAAGATGCAGTTAACCAAGGTACAGGGGAAATAGTTGAAAGCGAGTAGAATAGGGTTTCTCGTATCTGGCACTGTACATGTTTGGAAAAAGCACTTGGGACTGACTTAACCCCCTTTCTTCTCATCTCATGGAAATAAATACGATAACCCTACCCATACCAGGTTAAAATGAAGAGGTGTTGTGAGCATATGAGAAGTTTTTACTTGCTGGTGTACAGAGGAGGGTCATTGGCTGCTCTTCAAGGATGCCCTCCTGG